CCAAAGACCGCACTCCATCTGATCTCGACATGCAACCAGTCGTCGGCCAAGCCCTTGCTTGACCGCCTGCAGAGCCAGAGATGGCACACACTGGGGTAAACCTTTCACGTCGTAATCGCCGCCGACGAGCATTGCAAACAACACTAGTCCATCTCGGTCTAGGTCATACTTCTCCTTCAAGTCGGATGCTCGTACAACGTTGGCGTATTTTCCATTCTTCTTGGTGTTCTCCTTGGACCTGTCCGTGATGCCCTTTTCTTTCGCGATGCGATGGTCGCGTAGCCAGAGAGTGCAGCCAAACATGATGCAGTCGGAGTCTTGTGACCAAACAGCGTCAACCAGGCCCAGAATCTGCAGACGAGCGCACTCTGCCTCTGCCTCTCCTGGCGCTTCATGGTATGGGATCCCAAAGTATTGAAGCATCTCCTTGAGCAGACGCTGCTTTTCGAAGTTGATCCGCCCTCCTCCTCTTTTGCCTCGCTTCCAGGGTCGACCGGGGCCATCGAAGACGAATATGAGCTGGATATCCAGGGTGAGAAGGCGGCAGATACGGTAGAACATGGCTTTCTCGATGCCTTGGAAAGCATACTCATTGGAGGCTAGCCGTGTCAGCGAGGGGAAAAGATGCTGCGTGTACTACTCACTCTCCCGTATGGTATACACTTGCTGCACCGTGAGGTTGTTGAAGCGCCAATCGGCCTCGTCGACAGCAATGCGGAGTGGCCTGCCATGACGCCGGTGGTGCTCTTCGGCAAGCTGCGCAACCGGTACGCTCCCTTCGTGCTTCTTAATCGTATCCCACAAGCTATGTTGATATCAGTAGAGACTCAGGTCTGACGCGGTCTAGACGCGTACGCTGTGAGACCCATGACGTGGGTGTGGGGAAGACGAGGCTCGAACAGTCGGCCGTTGCACGCGTCTTAGCGCGATTGGCGTGACCGCGGGAAGGGGGTTGGCCAACGGCTGGAAATAGAAGAAAGAGGACTGTGTCATATGGCAAGTCGCAACTAATGTGTTTTGCTAGCCCGGTCGCAACAGCAGTAGAGGTAACATGGTACGCTGCAATTGACCGTCGCACAATCTCCTATCGCTCCTTCCGAATTCTGACGAACACGAAAACACGTGGTTTGCATCTGCAGTCCGAGCGCCTTACCCATCTCAGTACTCACTTATTTTTTGGCAGTAGTCCGCCAGTATTTTCACTTCACGTCGTCACATCGCGCGTCATGTCACAGAAGTAGTACATTGTGGCTGGCTATAGTTCACAGTCCACCTCAAACGCCCCTTCCAAATCATGCCACAGTTCACTCTCTAAGAAGACGCTCATATCGCTAACCCTATCCTGCGCACTTTTTCGTCGCTGCTTCAACGCCTCTCCCAAAATATTCGCCGCCGAAAGAGCCATGTCAGATTTTCTGCCCAAAAACCATAACGCCTTGATACAAGCATCAGCTCGTTGGAAAGCATCCTCACGATCCAGGTCAGACGGTAATAAAGTGTCTGACTCCAGTAACAAAACACCCGCCTTGGCGAATGCCCGAATCAACACTACAGTCCATGGTTCCGTCAACAGTGCGCCTTCGTTCACTGCAAAATGAAATTCGCGGGACTGTGGGAACGATGCGTCTTCTCGCGGGCATGCGCAGCTCGCCAGATCGGATAATACCCGGCAGTTGTTCTCACGGAACTTTGCGATGAAAGCGGTTAGATTCCGTTGCTGTGTCGCTTCTTCAAGCCCAAGCTCTGACTCGTCTACCACTTCCATCAAGTCTGCAAGCAGAAGCGTTGCCAGGTGCCAATGGCCGGTAACACAAACGTACCACGACTGGACGCGTGGTGGGAGGCGGTCGTGGTTCTGGATGCAGTCCCGTATGAAAGGAGCGTACAGCGCATCCCAGTGGTTGCACACGTCCATCGCCGAACTAACAGCCTCTTCAACCTTCGCGCCTCGCGCGTTCCTTGTAAGGAGCGTCTGGATTCGGCAAACCCTCCTGAACAGTAACACCTTGACAGGGGCTGCATCACACAGCGCGGTTGCCGCTTCATCGAATGAGCATGGCCATCTCATGGGTACATGCTCCGGGTTCTGTTGTTGTTGTCGGGCGAACAAATACTCATCCCAGAGTCCGTCGCCTTCGTCTGTCGAGGAGGGTGTTACTGCCTGTTGGACCGAGTGCTCGATTTGCATGCTTTCGCTAAGCACTACATCGCTATCTTCATCCGATACCACCAACGGTCGTTTGTGCATTGCTGCTGACAGGGTGTCGAACATAACGCCCAACCAGAACAGAAGGTCTACTGTTGCACGGTCCGCATCTTCAAGCCGCACAACTGACGAGCGTCGTTGCCGTGCGGAGCTGCTGCGTCGCGCTTCTCTAGACATGGTCATGCGTGATCTCAAAGAATGAATGAGCCGGAGACCTGATTCAAGATGGACAGGTGGTCCATCAGCCTCGATTGCAAGATTCAATTTCGACATCAAGTCTGCACAGTCGTCCATATCCTGATCGGTTGCAAGCAAGGGTGTACCTTCTCTCGATACTTGCGCACAAGCGTCTGTCTCCATCAGTTCGGTCTTCGAAACAGAGTTCGGCGCATCCTGTGTTTCTTCAACTGTCTCAACCGGTCTTTGTGTCAAAGCGAAGATGATTTGTGCGAGTACCACTCGGAAAGACTCCACCTCGCCAGCCTTTTGTAGTGCGTTGCGGGCCTCATGCCATGCTGATATCTGTAACGTACGATCGAAGTCCAAGCCGGTCGGAGTGCATTCGTCCTCTTCGCTATCAAACACGCTGCTGCCACCATCGATCGAAGTGCTATGGAACGGATACTTCGTTCTACTTCTGGCACTGGATTGCGCCCACTGTGAAGCGAAGGAGAAGACCGCCAAGTCCAAAGCCCTGGATGCAGCGCGGTCTTCCGTCTGGGTAAGCTTGCGTCCTCTGATGGTAGATGCTAGTCTATCGAGGCGAACCACTCGGTGATAGATTCTATTCCAATCGGGTCTAGCATTCGTGGCTAGCAGAGTATCCGATTTTGCACTGTAGGGACAGGTTCTTTCTGTTACCCAGCATGCAAGTGCGTTTTCGAAACTATCATGATAGATCCTCAGCAAGCTTTCAGTCAGATACGCGTTGTTGCTCGATGAAAGAATATCGCTGGCATATGATATTACTGGGTAAGAATGCGCACCGTTTGAGATTGATGCCGAGGAGCTGGAGCGACGCCTTTTTTGACCGGTACGTGCGACAGTCCCTTCCGATATGGTAGAAGGTGGTTTGCTTATGCTTATGCTACTCGTGTCTGGATAGTCTGAAGGGCTGTCGCGCTCGGGCTTGTCATCGCTAATCTCTGAAGTTGTTTTCAAGGATGAGCCTCTACCAGAGTCGCAATCGAGCAGAGTCCAGTTTTCCTCGGCAAACCCGCCAGCGAGCTCCGATTCATCTCTTGTCCCTTCTTTCTCGAATGTCTGCGACGGTTCATGAAACAGGGCGATTGTGGGATCGGCGGTGAACATAGAAGAACCGCACGGAAAATCTCCAAAAGTTACACCTAGTTCAACGGGTGGAGTATGAGCGAGAAATTCATCGTTGCTCAACTGTCGGCTCTCTTTTGACTTGGTCGTTGTGGTAGAATGCCAAGCTACATTTGGCTTCTGTGCTCGGCTGGTGGAATTGCTTCGCGTACGGCGCCTCTTTGCTGGCGGCGCAGCTGTCTGTGGTGGTTGTGAAGCTTGCGATACACGCTGTGAGCGCAGCCACTCGAAAGTGCAGCTCTTCTTCGTCTTCTCACAATTACCGCACGAAGCTAGTGGCCCGTAAACGTCTGACAGGTTAGCTGACGTCTGCGCTACCATCAAAAGGGGTGTGGCTCACCACTATAATGGAACACTGTAGGGGTTGCTCCAGATTTACTCGTTTCTAAAAGAGTGTCCTCCAGGATAGCCGCATCGCACGCCCTCTTTCCTTTACGACATTGATCGCAGCACCTGTTCTGTTTCCGACTTGTCTTGGAAGGTTTGGTGGCCGCCATCGCCGCCGAAGAGGGCGACGTCCAGGCATAATCGAGGAACGACTTAGGTTGCACGTCCACGAAGTTCATGGCTGCTGCTCGGATTGTACGGCAAAAAGAGGGAAAGACACGAGAGGTATGCTTGATGCAAAGAGACAAGTGCGTTACTGATATGCACACCCCGCGTTGCCGGCTAGGGCCCACATCCCAACACAGAAATGCGGGGAAGGCTAACGCGTGGCAGGGAATTATGATGCTCAACGCAAGCTTCAGTCCTGCCCACAATTGACGATTGAGGATGCTTCACGGCTGGTTCCGTCGATCGCATGCATTCCAAACATGTGTTCCTTGTTTACGACCGCACAGTTCTCACCAAAAGCAGCCCTCAATATTCCATCGTAACGTTATCCCGTGAGCTCACGGGATGGTTTGTACCGGACATTCGGTCTGACCTAGGCGCTACTTCTCTCAGCTTGCAGCCTATCATGTTATAATTGGCCCTTTGTCTGACGATCGGACTGTTCCGAAACCTTCTCCAATGCAACTTGTGTGAAACGAGCATCGGATCGGCCCATATGCAAAGCTGTGGATGGTTTCAACGTTTTCACCGCCACAAAAAGCAATTCAATTATCAGCTCAAATTGCAGCTTCATTGCACGTTTTCTAATCGTGCGCGTTCGTGGCTTATCTGTAACCCACGGACAACCTGGTAGTCTGTAGATGACAAGTGACGCTAACAACATGTGGGGGTACGATACGCACTATGCTCACGAACCAATTTAGGCTTCCCTAGACCCAACATTATGGTTTCGACGCTCCATCAAGAGTATATCAAGTGAGAAAGGAAAGCGATTGCCCATGACCATGCAACTTGACGCGAGCTTGGAAATCAGAACGCTGACGATCATGTCCCTCCGACCGAATCCGACACAACTAGACGGGCCGATTGCATAAGCAATTGCTGCAAAGCCACCCAACATGACATCTGATCAAGCTCCCAGGGCTTTGTAGATCTGCGTCTCAATGTCGAACCACAACCCAAGCACCTTGGGATCGCCAAACGGCAGGATCTGACAGCATACAATTCCGCCGACTCCCTTCTCTCTATCACACCACCACCAGCAATTCGGCAGACCAGCCCAGAACCCAGTACTCTTGGACCGGCCAGTCGGACCTCCGTTAGATAACATGAATGTCAGGCCCCATCCCTGGGGTGGATTTCCTTCGACAGGATATACGTCGGAAATAGGGTTTGTGAGATCGGGCTTGGCTGCTGGAATTCCCTGGCGACCGAAGTCAGGGAATTGTGGGATCTGATTCGTGAACATGAGGTCGACTGTCTCTTTCTTCAGCAGCTGAACGCCAGTTTTTGGTGATGTGCCGTCGTTGAGCAAGGTCGCGATGATTTCTATTCGCCGTTAGCCCGCTGTGATGTTAAGGGGATATGTTTGCAACCTACGTGCATAGTCCGACGGTATCGCGAAAGCACCTGCGCCTCCACTGTTGAGTATGTCGCTTATCTCATCAGTCTTAGCTCCCAAGACCTTGAGCATGAGGTGGTCGCGCTCAACCAGACTGCCATCGTGGTTTCGCTGGTGCATATGCGCTAGCCGCTTCTTCATGTCTTCGGTGGGAAACATGGTGATGTTCTTCAATCCCAACGGCTCGAAGATATTCTTGAGGCAGTAATCGTTCAGAGACAGGCCAGTCTTACGCTCGAGAGCCAGACCGGCGAAATCAATGTTTACACCGTATTGCCATCCCTCTCCCGGTTGGAAGGTCAGCGGTTGGAGGATATCTTTAACACTGCCCGAGAATTCGTTATGGAAGCTGTCTGGCGACGAAAAGTCGCGCAGTTGTTCGTTAAAGAAGGTATAGCCGAAACCAGCTGTTCACCATAGTCAGCAAGAAGACGCTCTAGTTTGTGGGAGTCACTCATACCAGTATGCGACAGGAGCATCCTCAGCGTAATCTTCCCTTTCTTCTCTGCCAGACTACCATCCTTCTGCAGCACTTTGGTTTCCTTCAACTCCGGAACCAAAGTCTCCATCTCGTCTCCATCATCTAAATGCAGCTTTCCTTGCTCAACGAGCTGCATGCAAGCAAGCCCAGCGATCATCTTAGTGCAAGATGCGATCCAGAACACGTTGTCAAGCGTCATGTTCTCGCTGCTTGCAGCTCCTCTCTTACCAGCGGCGTGCGCGAAGAGTTCTTTGCCATCTTTTCCCACAACTACAACACTAGTTCCTGGGATAGATGTCTTGGGATCCGCGCAGGCTGTGTCGACGGACTTTTTGAGATTCTGGACGACTTCAGTGGACAGAGGCATGATTGATTATTACAATGGTACGAATTCGAAAAAAGGCTTTATGCGTTCAATGTCACGACAGCGAAGGCTCAACATGGTACCTCTAGTACACCTATATACCGGTACATCATGTGCGGCACCGGCAGTGCAATGGACCAACGGGCGTGCGGGGATAACTGGAATTCGGCGTCATGTCGGATACTGCCCCTCATGGTGTTGTCGCCTTGTTTTCAGCATGTTCCGAAGGAAGATCGTCGAAGCCTTCTATCTAAACCTTGAGATCAGTCCGTAGCCTTGAATTTTTTGGAGGGGGTTCTAAGCACGAGGCGAGGAATGACGATGTACTTTGTACAGGCTGCCTAGGCGTGGAGTATTCTGTACAACCTTGGAAAACGTGACGGCCGCCTTGGTACTAGCGTGACTAGCGCTCAACCGAGGCATCCACGAGCACTGGGGCCTGCGCGCCACAGAAAGTCGCTCTCATAGAGTTCTGAATGCTCAGTCTATCCTAACTGCAATCAACATCAAACACCACGCGTGATTGCGGGATTTTTCTGCATTCGTTGAAGCTGTGTCGACAACAGGAAGATGGTAAAGCTTGGATGTTGACGTGGCAGCCCCGAAGAACGGCGCCGCCCTAGCATTACCAGACGAATTTGCGCACGTCTTTGGGTAGCCACTGGTGCTGTACCGACCTGCAACTCGCTGGTATGAAGCTATACAATGTATGCGCGCCACTGAGAATCGCGCTCGTGTTGGAGATGCCAGTAGAGAAGCGAAGCCCTTAGTTACGCGACATGAAGAGGCTGGATTGTGTAGGCCGCCCCTCAGGGCTTGCGGCAGTCTCATCGCGGCGTTTGCTAATCGCGAGGTGATCAAACACTACAGAAATCGCGTATAGCTAGAACGAGGCTCTCTCAGAATTACAGAGCATGCATCATGCGGCTGTCACAGATAGTACACATTGAACAAAAGATCTCTTTATGTTGTGCTCAAAATCCTGGTGAGCTTGACTGCGTCCGCAAGCGAAACGGCAACACAACATGCACTCTTCCTCAATCCACCGCCAGGGCGATGGAATCAATGAAAAGCTCGAAAGCAGACCAGCAAAAATTGCCCCGCCGAGATCCCCGAAGGAAGCTCGTAACAGTCCCATACCGCGCTGTGCAATGCAGACGAGACTGTTAGATGAACCCAATCTTTGAGCTGGGTCATCGCAAGAAGGTAAGTATGCAGAATTACTTTCGAGCGAAGGGCGGTATTTAAGCAAATAGGAGAGGGGCCTGTGCAGAGTACATGTGACTTGTACACTAGGGGTAGGTGACCGTTGTATGGCTGGTGCGGAAATTGCTGCAAGGGGGCCGCATCTCCACTGCGTCCAGGTTACCTAAGCAACTCTGTTCCGTTTCTGCCGAAGGATCTATCGTGAAGATTCTCATCCAAAGTTTTCCCTGGCTCGTTCTTGGCCGGACGTCATCGACTGTCGACGACTGATGTCTCCAGGAAACGTTTTTCGCACGTCGGCCAAGGGTCGGCGTGTGCGATATGATCGAATACTTGGTGGATCAGATGGCGGAAATGATCGAGTATAAGTTGTGCAGTCCAACTGAGACAGGATGAGCAAATCTTGTCCCGGAAATCTCACACAAGATGCTTTGTGGCGGTGCATTGCGAATTCCTCTTCTTGTGCTTGCGTCGTGCGTTTCGCTCGGTAGAACAGCAACGCTCTTCACAGGCGGGACAGTGATAGGCTGGGATCGCTCTGCCAACTACCTCGATGTTATCCGGAATGGCTCTGTGTTAGTTGAGAATGACACAATAACAGCGGTTTTCTCTGGATCGTACAACGGAACTCTACCAGCCGACCTGGACGTCGTCGACGCTGCCAACGACATCATCTCCACGGGCTTTATCGACACCCACCGCCATAGCTGGCAGACGGCCTTTAAGACTTTGGGCTCGAATGTCACACTGATGCGATACTTCGAGCGCTATGGCACCGATTCGCCCGCTAATGCGCATCTTACGCCCCAGGATGTGTACATTGGCCAGCTCGTCGGGTTGTATGAGGCCTTGAACGGCGGTGTCACCACCATTCTGGACTTCCCGCATTGCACATGGTCGGCGGCTCACGCTATGGCCGCGCTAGATGCGACGCTGGAAAGTGGTGTCAGAACTCAATTTGCATACTACTTCCAGGACTATGCGAACTTCACAGTCGATGGGCAGATTGATCTCTTCCGGGATCTAGTCGACGACGCGCGTTTCGACAGCTCGCCTACGGAGCTGGGCATCTCCTACGATGGCTTCTCCAGTTCTGACAGGAACCAAACGCGCACCATCCTTGACTTGGCGATGTTAGTATACGACCATAACAAACAAACACAAGGCTGATTCGTGATAGTGAAAAGAACGTTTCCGTAGTCACCACCCATGCGAATGGCGGCGTCTATGGCGCCCCAAACTTTCCTGAGGTCTTGGACGGATTCGACTTCCTCAATCAATCTATTCCCATCGTCTTCGCACATGCCAGCTATCACAGCGCAACAGATGCGCAACTGCTGCGTCAGTACAACCACTACATCTCCACCACCCCAGAATCGGAGATGCATTACGGTCACCTACATCCCAACAGCCATCTCACCCTAGACCAGGAGGCTTTGGGTATCGACACGCATTTTACCTTCTCATCAGATATCCTGACGCAGGCACGATTGTGGCTCCAGAGCGTTAGGAAGATCTTCTACCGCGAAGTTGTTGATCGACGCCGCCTTCCCGCCAAGAACCCCATGTCCGCCAACCAGGCCTTCCTTCTAGCGACTCGTAACGGAGCACTCGCATTGCGACGATCGGACATTGGTGTTTTGGCGCCAGGAGCCAAAGCAGATCTTCTGGTGTGGAATGGCCGCGCTCCTAGTGTACTTGGCTGGGCCGACCCAATCGCTGCGATCATGCTACATGCGAACGTGGGAGATATCAAGCATGTCATGATCAATGGAAAGTTCAAGAAGCGAGACGGACAGCTGACCGTACCTGGGTACACGGCGCTGCAAGAGCGCTTTTTGGAGAGTGCGAAGAGAATTCAAGATATCTGGAGGCAGATGCCGCTACCAATTACAGAAGGTGAGGCGGAAAATGGGGTGCCTTTCGAGAAGCCGATGATGGCGGATGTCGAGAGAGGCGAGGGAACTGGGTATGGTCCTCTGTACGTCTAATTAGAGTCCGGGATGCGCGCTACTGATAGATAAACACTGGTAATTTTAATAGACAATAGAGCATAAACGTGAGAAAACACTTTTCCTCACCATTGCCATCCAGGACCCTGCCTCAAATCTTCCTGTTTTCCACACGAACCCATTTCTCCACACCTCATACTTCCCCCTTGTCTTCCTCCAGCGCGAGCTTCTCCTCCCTACCCGCACTACCACCATCGCCCTCCCTCTTAACATGCTTCTTTTCCCTAGTATCCGCGCCCAGCCAAAGCAAGTCGGGCCTGGAGTAATGGCCCACAGCGTCCGCGAACAGTCTTATGCTAATCAACTCATCCATGTCTAAATCGGCAAACACGAAACCCTCTACATCCATACCAAGAGGCTCCGTCATCCTCCGCCCGTCGGGCCCATACACAGCCGAATCGCCACCGCCAATGTGGCCGAAGAGCGGGTTGCCTTCGACACGGTGGGCGGTAATGCCAGCAGTCGAGATGGTAGGATGGCAACATAAGACGAAAGTCGAAGCTTCTATGGCGTGGACGCGAGAAAGAGCACTAGCGCCTTGAAAGAGGAGATCGGTTAGTTCTTCCATACGAGACAAGTGAGAAGGGTGTAAGAGAGGGAAAAATTGGCTAAGGGAAAAGAGTCTTGGAACCCAGAAAATGGAATAGCGGCTTGTGTGTTGGTAACAAGGCTATCATACATACCTTCAGTACTCATACCCCAGGCCACCTTATTTTCAACCCCTTTCTCCGCTAAATGCATAGGCGGCCACGCCGCAACATGGATCTCCTCATGCTGGCTATTCGTGTGATACTTAAGAAGCGGTTGCATGTGCTCCCAACAATTCAGTCCACCGACTCGTCCGATGCCCTCGACCTCTACCACGTTGTTGAGACTGGTACCGTCGCCGTCCCCATACACGGTGCGCTCCATATGCGTGGGTTTGATTTTGCGTCGCTTCATCACGATGGTACCCGAGGCGTTGATGATGCATTGCGCTATGTATAGACTGTTGTGGTCGTTTTCGCTGAAACCGAGGACTACGGCGATACGAGCTGTGCGGGCTGCAGTGCAAATCCTGGCCATCTCGGGGGAGTCATACGATAGGGAGTTTTTGACGTACTTGGTCCCGAGCTCTACATCCATGGGACGCTGCCTGTGTTATTTCCTCATGTTAGTAAACCGCAAACGTATTGATGTGTGTTTGAGCCATCGCTGTTGCTGCTGCTGTCCAGCATATCCAACCTCATGGATGTGACAGAAGAAGACAAAAACTGAGAAGGCAAACAAGAATACACACCAGATCCAGGCCGGATATCCTGGAATCCAAACCTCAGGAAAAACAACTAATTTCGCATCTTCCCTTGCTGCCTCGGCGATCAATTTGCAAGTCTTATCCACCGTAGCTGTGAGATCGAACCACACAGGTTCATGTTGCGTGACTGCGACTTTGACAATCGAAGACTTCGACATCTCTTCTGTTCGGTCGAGGTTAGAAGCTGCTTAGTCGACACGAATAGAGGGGACGACTTCAAGTTATTCACAAGAAATATGACAGCGCAACTGATTACACGGCATCGGGACCTGCATAAATAGTCAAATGGAAGACACTAACACGAATCCATGCTGACGCGGGGTAAAAGAAAGGGCGGATCAGGACGATAGTGAGAGTAAGAACGAGGGAAGACATGCACATGTGGATCGCTTTTCAAAATAGCTCAAACAAGGTACGATAGGGGAGATCTCGGGAGAGGACAATGTTGTAACGACGGGTCTGATTCCGAGATAGTCGGAGAGATAGGTTCCCACGATAGGCTGCAAAGCGCGGGGTACGCTTGAAGTTACTCGAATACAGCGTTGTGATCGATCGGCTTGCTAGCATTTGTCATGTTGAGATGCGGACCGCGGAGTTGCGCCTCTTCGAATCGTTGTCTGCTTCATTAGAGCTAGAGCTTTAGGTTGTTCGTTCGCTATCGTTATCTTGTAATGTCCTTTTCGAAACTTGCCGACTTGGCATCTTTCTCGATTAGATGCCGACGAAATCACGCGAGACGGCAGTTCGGCATTATTCCGCACCTGTTCCACGAAGACATCGGTACGCAATGGAGTATTTCCGCACGTTCTCACTTCCCGCCATGGAAGCAGTAAATGGGAAGAACGAGATTCTTCTCGATGGATGATCTACGCATAAAGTGCAAATTTCGATATCGGGGAAATGGTAGATAGCATTTATGCCATCAACCAAGCTGATTTGGTTTGATCCAGTGGTTGTGGTGAGTACAAAGGCACAACGTGAGAGTGCCGTAAGTGGGATCGGGAGAACCGGTTTGTGTGAGAGTGCTGTAATCATTATTTTGGGCTCAGCTCACAGGCAATCCCAGAAACATTATATTTTCAGACAACACTCCACTAGTAAGCATAGGTATCGTGTGCGAACACGCCGCTCCAGGCTCATTAAGTCTTTGGTACGGCAGAAACAGCCAGACAGGTGCAGTGCAGAACGCTGTTTTCAATGCAGTTTTCAAGTACGCTTTTGGCGCCTACGGGTAAGCTGTTGAATGTAAAGTTCAATGAAGTGTACCATTCAACCTCCTAATATACTGTACCTTCACAATCCATATCTTCTCGGTAAATGCTGGTATCACAGTGGCACGGAAGGTACAACATGGTGTGTTCTTCTGGCCAGGGCAGCTGTCATATCTCAACTACCGAAAGACGCCATGGGAAACATGTGAATGTTTGCCATGATAGAACTTTTCGACAGCATGTTCTGCGTTCTTACCATCGCGTTGCTACAAAGGTGAGTATAGTAACGGAGACCGACAAAGCTGAATAGGGGCTGTAGCATTGCTTTTGCTACTAGCGAAATCGACGAGCAAGGCTGAACTCGCCAAGGACGCCATGCTCCGATCGCTCGTCGTATCATAATGGAATATTCTTACTGACTTCCTGACCTATGTAGAGCCGATTGGTTCTGGGTCTCCAATGCTTGCTAGCCCTAGAGAATCGGCTTCTCATTCGTGATCGACCTAGAGCTGCAGTGTAGTTGCTCGCCGGAGATAGTAAGAATTGGCGAAAGGCGCCTCTAGATGACAGCCTTCTCCCTTATCATATGACAAGTTCAAATACCGTATCTTGATGTGGTCGGTATATCTTCACGAAGCCCCAAAGCGTTTCACATCCTTCTTCTTCGAACGTATCCTTCTATGCACACGTTATGATTAGTGGCCCACGATGGTTATTTCCAGCCATCGAGCAATACTCCTCCACTCATTATGCTTCATTATCTGCCTCTCCATCGTGGTAGCAGAAACTTACACCAACGCAGCATGCAACGCCGTTGAAGCCACGATGGGCTCATGCGCGCAGCGCTGGGATAGTATCCGCACCGAATGCACCAATTCTGTAACCACAAACACCATTTGGCCTGGGCCGTGCGAATGCTCTTACTATGCCAACGATCTGCCTTGTTTTGACGAGCAGGCGGCATGCGCGAACCAAGTTTGGACACAGCTACCGCAGTGGTTTCGAGACGGTGTTACAAGCTGTTTGATGAAGGATGAGAGCTATACTATAAGAGCGCAACTTGGTTCGGTGGAAAATCCATTTTCGACGACAGGTATTGCGGGCAATGTCACTCGGGCTACAGCAGCACAGACCGGTAGAATGATTTCGAGTCCCACGGTGAGCTCTACGACAGGTAGTTTCAATGTGCCCTCAGCTACGACGAACAGCCACAGTACGATATACACACCTCTTTCAACGAGTGCAACAGTTTCAGGCATTCAGAGAGCGTCCTCTAGTGGCTTTTCGGCTGGCAGCAAAGCCGGAATCGGAGTCGGTATCACTATCGGAATCCTCACCACCATCGCTCTCGCCGTATGGCTTGTTAAGAGGAAACGGAGATCACTTTCGGACGAAGCCACCGAGACTGAGTCTGGAACTGCAGAGCTGCATAACAAAGATGTGAAGATATATGAGACCGAGGTTGAAACGTACTCAAAGCACGAATTAGCTGCTGGCTCAAGGCCCGAATTAGGTGGAAATCCGCGAAGCGAGCTTGATGGAGGTGCAACGAGGGAGATACCAGGAATTCATGCGCTTCATGAAGTAGATGGACAGGCGATGGACGGACCAGGTGGAAGATTTACGGAAAGACAGGATTAGTAGGTTGGCTGAGAGCCGTTGCCAAAGGTGCCTGAACATGTGGTCGTCGGCTGTGATTCCTTTGTATATTATGGCAATAAACCCTCAGAATAAGATACTATTCGAAGAAGGCGTTCTTGGTTGTTGCATCCAGGCTTATCTGGAAGGCATGTTGAAATCTGAGTCGTCGGAAAAAAGGCGATCGTCGGGTGAAGTGACAAGAAGAATGGCAAAAACATATAATTGTAGGGGTTCGATAGTAGTCATCCACCCAACTACTGATCAGGCGCATCGAAACATGTTACATGTCCGATAGTATTCAGTGTATCTAAAGATATTCCTACGTCTTGCTCGACTGACCCGAATGAAAACGTTTGAACCCCTCGGATCAGGCAGTCTACTCAGAACTAGGTGCACTGGGCGAAATCTCCAGCACCTTGGCCGTCTGCATTGTCTTGGTGGTACACAGTGAAGCAGTACGTGAACTGATTGTTGTTCCTACGAGCGAAGACGACCTGCAGCATGATAAGTCCAAGAAGTACATAGGTAGGATGAGCATTGTAGTACTTACTCGATCTGGTCCTGCGTTGGAGTCATCCCCGAATGGAACTTTACCACGCAAGATGGGGAACTCATTCCATTCTATGAGATCGGGTACGTTGCAGTCAGCTGGCACCGGGATGTTCTGGTAGTTGCCGTAATAGGCCGGGTACTGTTTGCGAACTCCTTGACTGTCTATATATCTCCTGTGAGCTATTGTGTTTGCGCCATGATATCTCATGATGTATCCAGACACATACTTGGTTTACCTGTAGCATAGTGAGGTGGTGGTTGCAAAAGCCCGACGGCAATATTGTAAGCGTCTTCGATCTCCTTCACTGAATATGTCGCTTCAGCAGCGTTGTTTACCGTAGGACACTTTACCGAAACAATGTCCGCTCGTGCAACTAGCGCCTTGTTGCCGTCGGGGTTCAGAGGCAGGGGGGTTGCAGCCGCAAGCGTGGCGAGTGAAGCGAAAAGAACAGCGATGATCTGCATGGTTGCAATTGATAGTCTTGATGTTTTCAGTTTGTGTTGGGGGTCATTCAATCGAGCAAGCGGTTCAGTGCCTTAATAAGTGAAGTCGTCCAGGGCTCACAGCAATCCAACATGTCCTTCTATAGTACCCACAGTCCTTCAATAGTACCCACTGCTATTTCCGTTTGTCTTAATCTGTCTCTTATTCCATGGATGTCCTTCGGCTTATAGCTTACCCGCGGAGCTTGGCAGATGTCCTTCAGTCGATCCTCAACCAATGGGTTACAATCGCTTCACTCTGAAAGTGTTAGACTTTCATACTGCCTACCATATCAGGCGGAAAGTGCATAGCCGATCGATACGTCGGATGGGCATTAGTCAAACTGTCTTACGGTAGTTCTCTGCATTTGTAACTTCGATTTTAACGGGACCTTGTATGTTCGTCCTCGGAGTTTGTATTTTGGTACCCTTGAGCTTAATCGCCCTGCCCAAGAAATGTGGTTTTCAGCGCGAACAAGTTTTGCATTCATTGAGCGTTTTCATTCTTCTGCTGTCTGTGGTTCACCATACACCCTATCCATATATTATTGAGAGAGCGAACGACTATACACATGTGTTGGGTGAGAAATGATAGGGAATAGTGATGAAAGAGACAATCAATGATTCTTCAAGGCACAGACTTCGTTAAGAACATCATTTGACACGACTCTAGTAAGACCTCCCTAGAAAGGTCCATGTTGGAACTTTCTCAACCTTGCGCGGCGATCAAGTCGTCAAGAGCTGCTGTAGCCTCGATTGTAGCATCCATAGCCCTTTGGTCCGAAAGTCTCCCAGCTTCTCTGAAGTTCTGAAACTGGCTTCTCCAGAATTGTAGCCGTTTGACATCCACTGTATTGGTACCGCCTTTAGCCTCCCATAGGCTGCCAGAAATGTAACTATACTTGGTGGAAGGCGACCCTGCAGCTATTACTTGTTTGCCCGCGATCACCAACCAAGCAGCCGCTGCGCGAACTGCAAGATGTGCATCTCGATCGTAGTTCGTACCGGGACCATGCTCCAGGAAAGCAAATGTTGCAAAGGCAAAGTCGACACAATTGCACAGTGGAGATGTTTGTGGCGGATCTCGTCGCGCTATGAGAGCAGCGAATGTGTTGACGTTGGTGTACATGTCTTCGGATTGGCAAGATGGTACCTGGTCATCATCGTGTCCATTGCCAGAGACCTGGCGGAATTGAAGGGGCCCGCTACGCAAATCGTTCCCAATGCCAGAAGTAAGATATGGCAACCCAGACCATAATTCTGCTCTGGGTTGAGAGTGCAGCTTGATTATCTCCCCAGGTTGAACAGCGACAGAACCCTCTTCAAACACCATCGGTTTGCCTGTATCGTTATAAACGTCGGGTAGATTGGCGAGTTCGACTGTGAGATCTGCCAGAATCTCGAGATGCTTCTGAGACGAAAGCTCCCGTGCGGCTCCGAATAGAACGGAGAGTACGTCGCCATAGGCACTGGAAATGTCATAGCAGGTATCACGATCTGGTACTGAAAGCACCCAGTCGCTGATTCGCTTTGCTGCCGTTCTTGCAGTGTCGTTTTCGTCCAATACGTCTGTGTAGATCTGTAACAACGCCAGCTGGGAGGGTGCAGGCTTAGGAAATTCCTCGAATTCCGCAGAGGCATCCACCTTTCGTTGACGCAATTCGTGGAAGATTGCGAGCTGCTGGAGTTGTCTCTCTTTCCACTCTGCAGTCATTATTGTCGCAAAGCTTCACCCGAACGATGGCGTGAATGGGGTAGAGAAGGTCTAAAAGCGTCGTAAAGGTGAGTATCTAGGTAGTGATAGATGGCAGATGCGGATCGACCAACTGATCACAGCCTTAGCCTTGTAAACGACACCGAAGGCAACAACGTCATCCATAGGCATGAGCTTCCCCCACTGGTTCAAACTAGGCGAGAAGAACTTGCCGGACTCTGAGGGCTGCCCGATCATTGCCTTAAGCTTGGCGAGTGCTCTAGGTTGCAACGTGAAGAACAATGGCAGGATGGTCGATCCTGATTGAGGCGAACTTACGCCCAACTACGTCGCGCTCATACGACCGACAGCGACACCAGAGATCATCGATCCGTCCACAGGCTTGTGGCAGTTCCACGCGGGTTGATCGCGATTACTCTTTCCAATGACCGTGACGGTGTTGTACAAATATCCTGCCCCTGGCGTGCACACCACGCTGGAGGCCTTGCAGATACCGGCAACGTCCGTAGCAAGGGCGGGGGTCTTCTCGTGCCGATAGCCATAAGCACCGGGTAGCGGCATAACAGGGAGCTTCGTATTGGTGAAGATTGCTGTTCTCGTACATTATGTTGCAGAACGCCTTTTGTCCTGCTGATGGAATGTCAGACCTAGTATGGGTTAGAGAAAAGCGGGGCGCCCCTTGAGAAAGGATGACGTAGAAGGAGCATTGACCAGTAATATCTAGTTGCAAGAAACAGCAGCTTACTTGGGTATAACAGCACCAAGAACAAAAGGGGGACAAGCTGATGCGAAGCATCGCCAAGGCTATTCCGCTTAATTCACTTCGCCTACTCACACGATTCGACGTTCTGTGGGGCGAAAATGAGTGCTATTCGGGTAAGGATATTGCGTGACATTTGACAAGAGAGGCTTGGCGGGGAGCCTGAGAACCAACACTTCCTGACCGGAAGAAGACTACCCAGTTAGACAGAATCCGATACACTACAAGTGGGACAGCACGGAATGTCACCCGGGCGGCATCGGGTATTGCTGGGCCTGCAGGTTGCTGATAATACAACCGGACTGATGGACGCCTTGCGTTCATGATATTGCGACCAATACTACATCACTTTTAGATCTCTGCGTAGTAATGTCTATCAACGATCTACCTAGACATGCCTATGTAGGCCGACCCTTCTGCTATATAGCGAGACGATTGTTCTCTGCATAGACTAGAACAGGAAATATCATCGAATCACCGGGTCGGATCGTCGAATTCCAGGATAATCCAGCATGGACCAACTATGTATCTCTTGTGCTTGCAAGATCATCCCGGCATCAAGTACACTACTACCTGATGCATCAAGCCTTGAAGACATAGCTGCACTCGAGGCCTATCGACCTAGTGTGCTCTTTGGGGATCTTGACACAGCACACGATGACTCGCAAACCGCACAATTTCCATGGAACATAGAGGACTCTTGGTCGACCAAACTTTGGCAAGACTGTCCAAATTTGACAGATTCTTCGCTCAGATCTCCACGATTCCCAGCGATCAACCATGTACCTTATGGCGAGAACCTTGGCCGCAAGGAAGACTACTTGGATATCCCGGCGTCTCCCTCTTATAGTGTCATAGAGACTAGCAGGCCGCCATCCCTTGGTGTCAGGAAGCCTGCGACAAGTAGCAGCGTTGATTACCGATGTTACGAACATGGATGCGGAGGGCGACGGTTCTCTTCGTCAGAAAACTACAGGCGTCATATGCGAGAGCGCAGCCGCTCCGATGCGACAACATGCCCTTTCTGCTTCACTCTCTTCACGCGCAAAAGCAACAGGGATAATCATGTGCGTAAAAGGAGGTGCAAAGGCTGGAATAAGGTGTCATCTGAGAGAGTCGACGCGCCGTCAAGTACCCAGTTGACGAGTGTTCGCCTCAAAGACACTACAAAGCCACTGACATAGAGTAAGCGTTGGTTCTGGGCAACGGATGTATTTGGGTGATGTGCAGGTTTGCATCATTAGGCCAGTGTGAGCGATTGGAGTTTCTGGTAGACATATTAAGTCATCTTGTTGATGGAAGTTGACTCTGACTCAGTTTCAGTCCCATGGAGGTGTCTATCATACTTGATGCAGAAATAAGTTGTTTAGTAACTCCTAGTTCATGTTATCTACAATTCGTCTACTGTCGGCTCGGCCTGCAACCAGTGCAATTTTTCAATGTCGTAACGCTTTGGGGTCATCAGAAATATGAAGCAGGGTGTAGATATCGCGCTACATGTTGGAATTGCTCTGTTCGCTCTAGCGCATTCCCTCGCTGTCTGATGACCTGTGTTTGGTCTTCTGCGCCCTACTTCGCTTTTGCCTTACACGGTGTTCCTTTCCCGTGCAACCGCATATGTTCACCTGCATTGTCCAGCATGTCCTTCGAGATTACTAATGATATCACTCTCAACGCCCTGTCCTTTGGGCATGTCCTTTCAACGTTATAGTTCTTCCTATCCTATGAGCTTCCAAACGCGATTCAGCCGATTGATCCAAGATGCTTCAGTAGTGGACACCGGTTTACAGCAAATCGTCATCATGGCGAACTATACTGAGCCACTGAAGGGTATATAATCCGAGGTCTCTGCACTCAATTATGACTTGTTATCCAGCATTACAATTGCAAAATCTACTTCAGCCACAACTTAACTACTTCGTACATATCTATCACCATGAAGGTATCAAGCGTTCTCACAGCATTAGTCACCCTTCTGCCGTTAATTAACGCCCTGCCAACAAAGTCCAGCTTGGCTGAGACCGCAGTAAGTGCTGCCATCTAATTGCTTTGCTATTGTCCGAGGCTGATCTTAGACCTTGACAGAAAAGCATCTTCGAGAGGCAGGCCTCATGCACTGACATTACCTGCATCAAAGACACTGATTGCTATGGTAATCGCTGCGGGAACTGCAACGTGGATATCGGATATTGTACCTGTCCACCAGAGGCCGAGGGTGGACCTTGCTAGATTGATTTCGTACGCTAATACGAGCTATACGGTCTTTGGAGGTACCTAGAATTTCTCCTTCCATAGAAATCGGGCTAATGCTTACCTAGGTAATGATCTAAAGGTTATCTGACAACCGGAACGAAGAGCTGTAGTGACTGAGAGAGCTTACGGAACGCAAAACATGTAACCAACATTCACTTCTTTAGCTCAATATCATCGCTTACGAAATTCGGCGCGTAATACGCTCATTTCATGAGCTATTTCAGTAAATGCGATATGCATCTTACGTCTCACTATTTACAAAGTTGAGTTGTCGGACGGAACAGTGGAGTCGTACGCGCTTGGAACTTTCCTGATGCGCTATGCATGTACTAACTATGCTGAGATTTGGTATTAAGTGTTGATTTCAAGGCGTTGATGTTTAGAGGCAGTTGCCTCGGCCTCGGGTCAGGTCTCTCGTATTACCCTGCCGCAGCCCTGCACTCAGGTACTTCAGGTTGCAACTCAGAAACAACACCAATATAGACTTCCTCCCTTCACGCATAGAAGGAACAGGTTTGGTTCTTGACGCTGATTACGTTCGTCGTATTGGTCTATTACGACTAGATGATCCGACTCAGACGACACCTGGGACTGAGCCACAGCAATATCGGGCAAGCAGGACTCAAGATCTCCCAAGTCAATCGAGGGTATCGACATAACAGACAAAAAGAGATCAAGAAAGAAGAAGGTTAGTTAAAGGAGGCACGCGAGGCTATAAAGAGCAAGAGAAAGGATATAAAACTAGTAGTTAGAGTTGTGAAGTAATAGAACCTAGCAGACGCAGAAGCTTAGAGGTTTCTACGCGCCTACTCAGCAAGAAGACAGCAAAGGTAGAAGAGGTAGGTAGAGAAAAAGGTAAGGTTCTTAGGTATCAAGAAGAACGCTAGCGTCAAACCTAGAGAGGGCGGTGGAAGATGGACAAATCGGAGTTGATGCAATTAGTGATTTGGGTTGTTTTGCAGATATATTGACTGGCGTTCCCAAGGTATGTTTAATTTCACTGTGTATAAGCTAGCATCCGGTCAGGAAACGTCAGACTGGAGACATCCGGTACGGCGAAAGACGTGGAAAGGTTTACATCCACAGCAGCTGGAGGACGTAGCAAAAAAAGATGGACATTGGCTTATTTTATTGTGCAAAAATAAGAAACAAAACATACAACAGCGGGGATTCGCTAGTGGTCACCCACCTAACTACTAATCCACCGGTACACTGCTTGTATATGGCTGAGCGGACGGGAAGCCTAATTTTCAGTGTCCTATGGTCGTATGTGCAAGAATGGGGAGTTCTTTCAGATATATAATCGGTATAGGCAAGTTTCTGGCAACGAGCAGCGACTGTTGGACATATTCGAGCTTGGCCAGCACTTTGCACTAATGTCCCCTTCTCTTATCTTCACGATCTCGGGCATAGTGTCATGTAAGACGATGTTTGGAAAGCTGTAAAGTGGTGGTGGTAGGCGCGGTGTGGCGAAGGTTTGTAGAGTGCGGAGTGCGAATTGGTTTGGTGACGTAGTGGATGTCATACCATGCAGTTACCCGAATGGACATACTCGTCTGAGTGCACAGTTGATGTTGAGAGCTAGTGTGTGAGCACGGGAGACAGTGTAAGATGACACGTGTTGTATACCCATAGTCAACGACGCAAAAGACGACTGCGGCACAGCCGAGAGGCGTCATCTCGACCCACTGGCATTATTACGTCGGACCTTAAAACCGAACGTCCTAGACACGACACCATATTTTCATGGACCACAGCGATTTTGTCGTAGTATGCCAGATGCATCGCCATGGACGATGCGAAGACAATGACGTCGGGTAGGCGCGATGCACGCAGAGCGTGTCGCGTGCGCATGCAGGTCCAACGCATATGATCGCCGCCGCTAGGCACCAACGCCACGATATCGCACCCTTGCCACTTTCCACGATCTAGGCCAGCACCGCCACACCTCTCACTGCTATTCTTGTCATATTCCATCCGGTTTCCACACCATCCCATCTCCATCCTTCCGCCCTTCCGCCCATTCAGCTGCCTACCAGCGGTAAAATACGGCACATCAGGCATCAAGACGCGTAACATGTCCCACCGAACGCGCTAACACGCTGTCACATGCTTCATCAGGCGTCCAATCAAGCTACGGCAACGACGTTGTTGGGCAGTCGGGTGGGAGTCATTCTTCGTTCCCGACTCTGAAAGCTCCAGCGAGACATGGCCACAATATTTCTGTTGGGTCGGAACGTGGGCGAGAAGGCAAACAGGTATTGGGTGATTTTCGTTGGCTCCGTTCGGAGTCCGTCGGATCACCAATTGAAGAAGGCAACATGATGAGAAATGCCGACGAGACAATAAGCCGGACACTGCGGATTAGGAGGTGAAGAAGTCTGCAACGGGTATCGATGACGCCATACTATACCTAGATAATGTCGCCATGTACAGTCGTATCTCGTACTCGGATACCATGCCCATCACGGGCATTATAGCGGCGCGGTTGCCTGGGCATATGCGAACGTCTGTCTAGGCAGCCAGTGCACGCGCCCTTTTGTTACCA